GTTCCAAAGGCAATTGAAGGATCGCCTGGCACAGCCTTTGTTCAGAGCAGAAGGCAGAGCCTGGAGGGCTCTCAGTCACTGCCTGCTGGGACAGCTGATCACCTGGTCCCAGAACCTACAGAAACCCTGTCAGTCTCAGGGTAGGAGATGGTGCCTCGGCACTCGCCCATTTCACAGCAGTGTCCGGGAAGGAGACGCACAGAGTCTATGCTCACGTTTGCTCACCCCGGGGAAGTGTCTGCAGTGGTCAATGGCAGGAGAGAGACCTGCGCTCAGGCAGGTGGGGCGATGGCCATGCCCGCAGCCCGACCATGGACAGAGGCACTGATACTCAGTGGCAGCCCTACTTCTGTTGGCGCTGGCACCAGCGTTGGTGCTCTCTGCTGCCGCCCTGGCTTTGTCCTCACAGAGGTCACGTGATCAGGCTAAGCTTACACAGACCCAGATGTGAGCCCAATCTGTCCTTCAAAGGACCCAGAAGGGTCTGTAGCCGAGTCTGCCTCCACAGGCACATGAATAGCTGTGTGCCCCAGACATGTGACATGGGTGGGGGCTTGACTCTTACCCCACCTTCCTCAGGTTTCCATCTGGGGAGGGGGGAGCTGTGTGTGTGTGTAAAAGTTGGAAGAGGGTACCCCAAGTCTTGGTCTTGCAGGAGTCCTGGTGGGTGGCTGCCTAGGCCTGGCATGGTCACAGTGGCCCCAGGCACTGTCCTCAGTTTCCGTGTGTGAATGTGGGAATTCCCAGGGGCTTATGTCCAAATCTCTTAAAGCCCATCCCACTGTGTGTCTGGGTAGTCCAAGCCTCAGTGCCCAGATACCCTGTCACTGTCACCCAGTGACTTCCTGACTGATCCAGCCCCCACCTTCCCACTCCATGTGCTGGGTCCCTGGTCTCTCAACCCATCCTCTTCTCCTGGGCCCCCCCGAGAGCTGGCCCTGTCTATGCCACCCCCACCCTGAATCAGCCCTCCTCTGATAGCGCACTGTCAGTTCCTGGGCCTAGCAGCAGCCTCTGACAGGTCTGTGTCCACCTGGCTGCCAGGAGAGCCTCTAAGAACAACTTTTCCTTCTGAAAACCTAATGGCTTCCTGGTAGTTCAGGAACAGACCTGACCCCTCCCAGGGCTGATGGATACCATAGGACCACACACCTTTCCGGTTCCCTGTGGAGGCTCTTTACCTGCCCCCCATCCCCTGATGATCTCTGCCCTTTGGTCTTTGTGTCCTAGTGACCCGGCTGCAGTCCCAGGCTTTGTTAGCACTGGTGTTCCCATCCCCTTGGAACATGAACCCCAGGAAGACAGGGTTGGCATCTCCCAAGTTCACGGCCCTTACAGGGCCTGAGAGTGACAGAGGTAGAATGAACCGACTGGGGGACAGCAAACTCGGGGCTGAGATCAGCTCCTGGATTTTCAGAATCCCATGGGCTCCCGACACAGCTGTTAGGTCTTGCCTGCTGTCAGTGGGAGAAAGCCTGGTCAGGCAGTGGGTCCCACAGGTCATTTAGGGTGGAGTGGAGCTGCCCTGTGCTGTGAGTGGCCCATAAGGAAGGCACAAAAGGGAGAGTGGAGCAGTGGGTAAGAAGATAGCATACTGGGCCCCCCGGGCCAGTGGAAGAGACCCTGTGTGTAGTCTTAGTGGCTGGAACTTCTGTCCCCACATCCCACCTGCCCCGAATCCGCACTGTCGGCCTCATCTTGGTTCTCATCTACGTGGACTTCGTATCTGTTCCTCCCGTCCAGCTGCCGCAGTGTGTAGGTCACCCAGCAGCCCTCCGAGTCCTGCTCCTTGCATGTCTTGCCCCTCATGGGGCTGTCCAGCAGGTGCAGGTTCCGACACTGGGCACTGCAGTTCTTCCCAAAGGGGCCCTTGTCAAATTTCAGGCACTCGGCACAGGAGCTGCAGAGGAGGTGCTAGGACTTGGGTGAGGGTGTGGAGGGGGTGGAGGGCCTGGGTGGTCAGCAGTGAGCAAGCGCTGGGGCATGAGTGGGGTCGGGGGGAAGCATGGAGGGTATTGGGAACCGATCAGGTGCCCAAGAGGACTTACAGGCCTGACCCCTGCAGTAAAGCCCCTCTCTGCAGGTGCACAAGGAGAGGGCAGAGGGGTACAGTGGGTGTTGGTGGGGCTCCTAGGGGAGCCTGGCAGTAAGGTCAGGCCCCGGTGCAGCAATGACTCTGTGGGCCCTGTGTACCCACACATAGCGGCCGCAGGGCGAGGGGCAGCCGGGGCACTCCTGGCACAGGGGCGGCTGG